ATTAAACGGGAGGAAGGTTTTTTTTAGATTAGACGAGCGTTTTTACAGGATTTAAAAGGAACCAATTATAAAATAATAGATATATATATATTGTATTTACCTTAGAACGTGCGCGCATTTTTCTTCTTTTACGTTTAAGGCGCCTGGTTCGCTTTTTCTTCCACTTTGCTCTCATCTTTGATTAAATAACTGCAAATTATACAAACTTTTAATTAGAAAAACTAGATTATTAAAATAGATAATTAATTACAATTAAATAACCTTTTATTTTTAATGGATGCTTTACCTTTTGTTCAAGATTAACGAGAGTCTGGGAAAGATCAAAAGAAATAAATTTTTTTTGTAACTTATATCGAAATTTAAATGGTTAGATCGTAATTCAGTCTAGACTCCCAATTTGGGCCCAACTTATAGGACCAGTGGCTTAGCTTTGGGACTGTGATTTGATAAATAAAGTAGGGCTGAATTAGATCAAAGTGCCAGCCAAATTTCAATTGCATCAAGTGATATAAATTTTAACAACTGTTGCTGTTTGAATATATAGCTTAAAAAAATTTTTTTTTTTTCTCTCACTTCAACATACCAAATAAATTCCATAAAGTTGCATTCTTTTTACGATGCTCAGCATTGGGGAACTTTTGACAAACACACTTTCGGGTGGTAGGTTGATTCATTCTAGAAAAATCCGTGTTATGATAAAAGTTCGAGCGTTCGATTATGCGAATGGCTGCGCCAAGGCATCTCGAATTGCTTTATTTTTTATCATGTTTTATCAACTTTTTGTTATTTCACACAGATCAGAAAACTCGTGAAGATGCCCAAAGACAGCTTGAGCAAGCAGAAACGACTAACTTTGTAATTATTGCCCGTTTTTACGTTATTATTTATGATAATTAATTTCACAACGCGTTATAATAAATACCTGATTATATTTATCAACTTTTTATTATTTAAGCCCATGTATGTTGCGATGCTCTGTCAAGAGCTTGCAAATGAACAGTCGTCACAGTATACTCGAAACGCGGCTGGTATAGCTTTGAAAAATACTCTGTCCTCGTCGGTGAGGGTTTAATTTTTTAATAATATATATTCTCTTTTGTCTTTTGTTTTAACCGAATTCTATTTTATTCAACCGGTTTGTTGCAGGAGGCGTCTAGAAGAAATGAAATGATACAAAGATGGTTATCGGTGGACGAGGCAACAAGGCAACAAATTAAACAAGCGGTATTTTACATTTTGTAACTTTGACAGATTTATACTTTATGATGTAATCCGATCTAATTGAACAAATTTACAGGTACTAACCACGTTGGCATCTTCAGACACAAGAGCTGCGACCACAGCTGCACAGGTACGTGTTTATCGAATAATTGAGAACATAATGACAATAAGATTAACGACACCATTTGTTTCATAGGTTATTGCTGCGATCGGAGCTATCGAACTCCCTATGGAAAATCAGTGGCCTGATTTAATGAAAAATTTGTTAGAAAATGTTACCACAACTAATAATAGTACCCTCAAGATAGCAACCCTGACCGCGATTGGTTATATTTGTGAATTGATCGTAAGTTATTTGATTTCACACGTGTATTTTTTCATCATCAATAATAATCATACCGATTTACTTCGTCTCTAGGATCCTATTATTTTGGCACCTCAAGCTGGAGCTATCCTTACTGCAGTTGTATCAGGTGCCAAAAAAGAGGAACCCAAGTAAGAACACGGAACTATATTATGTTTTTCGAGTCGTCGTTGCATCTTTTTAAGTAAAAAAAAAAAAAATTTTGTTTATTATTATTTACATAAAGTCAAGATGTTCGTAAAGCTGCAATTGATGCTCTTTACAACTCGCTCGAGTTTATTCGTGACAATTTTGAACGCGAGGTAATGAATTTTTTTTTTATCGTTTTTCATATCAACATAAAGAAAAGGGTTGTTTTTTAAATTTTGATAACTCGATCATTATAATTAAGGGCGAACGTAATTACATAATGCAAATTGTTTGTGAGGCCACACAAAGCTCTGATGTAAATGTGCAAGTTGCTGCCTTTGAATGTTTGGTCAGAATAATGCAGATTTATTATGACAAGATGAGATTTTATATGGAAAAGGCTTTATTTGGTGTTAGTATCGCTTCACCTTTACCGTGCTGTAACTATTTTATTTCACCATGCTAATAATTACTTGCCTACTTGTATCTAAGTTGACCGTCCTTGGAATGAAAAGTGAAGATGAAAGAGTTGCTTTGCAAGCTGTCGAATTTTGGTCAACAGTATGTGACGAGGAAATCGAATTGGCCAATGAAGCTTTAGAGGTTTGTATTTGAATATATATTTTTGTTCATGCTTTATGACAATTTCTAATTCGGGTATTTCCTTGGTAACAGGCTTCGGATGCAGGAGAAACTCCGGATCGTTTAAGTCATAACTTTGCAAAAGCTGCTTTACCTGAAATATTACCTGTCTTGCTTTGGCTTCTCACTAAACAAGTATGTCCCTTTGTCACATCTCTATCGTTATGAATTGGTTTGTTTACCTATGAATTTGTTGTTTACAGGAAGAAGATGCCGATGAAGACGATTGGAATGTTGCAATGGCTGCTGGAACTTGTTTATCACTTTTGGCTCAATGCGTTGAGGATGCCATCGTTACGCCCGTGATTCCGTTCGTAGAAAGTCATATTCGTAGCGCAGATTGGCGTTTCCGGGAAGCAGCTATTATGGCCTTCGGATCCATTTTAGAAGGCCCCGAACACAAAATGTTAACTAATTTGGTAAATCAAGCTTTGCCAGTTCTGATTGACATGATGAAGGATGATTCAGCTCAGGTTAAAGATACGACTGCTTGGACCCTTGGACGCGTTTCAGAATTGTTGATTGAATGTATTAAGCCTGATGAACATCTTCAAAGCCTTGTTTCTGCACTTGTCTTGGGATTAAGAGATTCGCCAAGAATTGTCTCAAATTGTTGCTGGGTACGCAAAATATGTTTATATTTATATTGTATTGTGGTATTCTACTAATTATTATTAGTTACAACTTATTTTTTATTTTACCTCTTTTAGGCCCTGATGAGCTTGTCTGATCAGTTTGGTAGCAGAGAATCTTCTTTACCAACCTATGCTTTATCTCCTTTCTACGAGGGAATTATTTCGGCTCTCATGGAAACTACGGAGAGGTATTTGTGACATTTGTTCAATCATCCTTAAAAAAAAAAAAAATCTTTTTTTTTTCTTTTCCTTTATTATCATTGTATATCTCCCTGATAAATTTATACTACTTTGTGTTTAAACTTGCTGGTTTTTGCGTGTTATTTTCATTAAGGTCAACCAATGAATCTAACTCGCGAACATCTGCTTATGAATGCATCTCCACTCTGGTGCAAGGGGCCGCATTGGTAAATATTCGCAAAATCGATAGCGATTTAGCAACATTTCTTTACAAAGGAATGATCAATTGTGGCTAGTGACAATTCGCAAAAGTTGCTGTATTGACTTGTGCCCACCTTCATATCAACCACACAATTATATTATTCTTATCCTTTTTTATGTTTTTCATCTTTTCTCTTTTATAATTATATTTCCGTATTTATATTTATGCTGCTTTATTTTATTAGGACTGTTTTTCGACCATCCAAAAGCTGACGGTCACTATACTTGATAGATTGGACGCTACCATTCAAGCAACAGTATGCATATTACATTTAAGCAAGTTTAGTTCTTCTCCAACACCGTATATATTATAACTTTTTGTATTTATTTAGAATCAAATTATAGGCAGTGACGAACGTCATGCTCACTCAGAACTTCAATCAAATCTTTGTAGTGTCTTAACGGTTAGTGGAATTATAATTTCTTCTTGTTTTCTATTCCCCCCCCCCCCGAATAAAACGAATTAATTAAAACAAGCCATAATACACTTCAACTTTCAGAGTATAATCCGCAAATTGAAGCAAGAAGTGGTGCCATTCGCCGATAGAATTATGACTACATTATTATCCTTGTTTACTTCATCAACAAAACATTCGACAACATTGGAAGACGGATTCTTAGCTGTAGGTGCCATCACTACAGGTACGCCAACTTATTTGTACAATCTTTATATTTATCTTTCATACCAATAATATGATTGTAATTTGATAGCTGTGGAAGCTGATTTCGTCAGATATCTTGATGCTTTCGCCCCATTCCTTTATGCTGCGCTTTCGAATCACGAGGAATATGCTCTTTGTTCGATTGCCGTTGGACTTATTGGTGATATCTGTCGTGCCCTCCAAGAGGCATCATTGCCATATTGTGATACATTTATGAACATGTTATTGCAAATGCTTCAAGTATTTTTTTTTTCTCCTTTATTCTCGGTTTCTAAGATTTACCATCATTATTAATATTTACTTTCATTCTCTCTAGAGTCCTATATTGAACAGGAACACCAAACCCGCAGTCTTGTCTTGCTTTGGCGATATTGC